GGGTGCGTTCCCTCTCTAAGTGGTTGGACTACAAGATGCATATAGGGTTCGGGGTGAAGGGCTTAAGGGTGGGTTTAGGGTGTAGGGTTTAGGGCTAGTTTGGGCGAGTTTAGGGCTAGTTTAGGGTTTAAGGCTAGTTAAGGGTTTAGTGTTTAGGGTTTAGGGTTTAGCCGCAGCAAGGGCGACCCACTTTTTGCAACGCCTCACGACGCCGCCATGTCTGCTGCGGGTAGACTCCAATGCGACCAGTATAGGGTTTTGTTTGTTTGAGGTCTTGGGGTTTAGGGTTTAGGGTTTAGGGCTTTAGGGGTGTGGGGTTTAAGGGCTTTAGGGCTTTAGGGGTTGAGGGTCTTACGGGTTTCAGGGTTTTGGGGTTCAGGATACCCTAAGCCCTAAACGCTGGGATTTGGGGTAACTATCCGATTCAGGTGATGGTGGGTTGGGAACCCTAAACCCTAAACCCTAAACCCTAAACCCTAAACCCTAAACCCTAAACCCTAAACCCTAAATCCTAAACCCTAAACCCTAAACCCTAGGTTAAGGGCACCTTCCCAAATCCTACAGCTCCCACCCTAGCTCCTACAGTCTTCATCCTATGCCCCTGCCCGAACTTCCAAACCCCCCTCACAAAGTGCTTAGGGTTTAGGGTTTAGGGTTTAGGGTTTAGGGTTTAGGGTTTAGGGTTTAGGGTTTAGGGTTTAGGCCGGGTTTAGGGTGTAGGGTCACAAACCTAAGCGCGCATAGTCTTCTGGGCACTCTGTGCTTCGGGTTTGAGGGGCTAGCTAGGGCTTCGGGTCGCGTTTGAGGCGGCTGGAAGACGTGCTGGGCTTGGGGTTTGGGGTTTGGGGTTTGGGGTTTGGGCTTTGGGGTTTGGGGTTTGGGGTCCGCCGACCCTGGCGGCGTGTTGGATGGGAAAAGGAGGTGAAAACCTCCCTCTTTCCCTCCTTACACGGGGGGGGGGGGGGGGGGGGTCGGTGCACAATTTTTTTCGTGGAGGACGGCGCCACCCGCACAGCGTAAACAGGCGGTTCAGCACAGGGGGGTAGGGGCGCCCTCAGCAAAATCAGCGTTTTTGAAACCCCACCCCCCCCCACCCCCCCCCCCCCCCACCCCCCCCCCCCCCACCCCCCCCCCCCACCCCCCCCCCCCCACCCCCCCCCCCCCCACCCCCCCCCCACCCCCCCCCACCCCCCCCCACACCCCCCCCACCCCCCCCCCCCACCCCTCCCCCCCCCCCCACCCCCCCCCCCCACCCCACCCCCCCACCCCCCCCCACCCCCCCCCACCCCCCCACCCCCCCCCCCCCCCCCCCCCCCACCCCCACCCCCGCCCCACCCCCCCCCACCGCCTGTCTTTTTGGCTTGCGCTTGTCCTGACCCCCCCAACGTTTCACAAGAACTCTGCCGAGCAGGCTGGGATAGACCTCTCAACTATGCTCCAGCGGGGTCGGCGGCTTGAGCCGGAGGCTCTTAAATTTGGGGTTTGCGGTTTGGGGTTTGGGGTGTGGGGTGTGGGGTTTAGGGTGTAGGGTTTAGGGTTTAGGATTTCAGGGTCTTAGGGTTGTGGAGTTCAGGATAAGGTTAAAAACCGCGAAACCTAAAAAACAAAACCTCGACCCCTTAACCCCCCAAACTCTAAACCCCAAACCAGTGTACCATAGGGGTCGAATAATTAACAATAGTATTCCCTTGTTGTCTCTGTATGCTTATTATACAAAAACAGCACCACAAATCCTATCCCAATTATTAATTAAGGCCCCTGTATTAAGCCCTAAACCCTAGACCCTGAACCCTAAAGCTATTAAGGCCCTTTGCATCTGGAGCTTCGGGGGGGGGGGGGGAGGGGAGGTCAAGGGATTGAGGGTTTAGGGTTTAGGGTTTAGGGTTTAGGGGAGTCCCCCGAGCAAACGACCTGCCATCGAGCTCGATGCGCAGGCGCACGACTACTTCGCTTCTCCCGCGGGTGCTTTTGGCTTGGAGGGGCGCAGGGCGCGGATCTTGAAGGTTGAGAGGGTTGAGAGAGTTTAGGGTTTAGGGTTTATAAGGTTTGGGGTTTTGGGGTTTGAGGGTTTCCTAAACCCTAAACCCTAAACCCCCTAACCCTAAACCCTAAACAGGGGGGGGGCTAAACACAAAACTCCAAATCATGGGTGGAAAGATTATGGGGGCTTTGCCGCAATAGTCGGCCAACTGTGCCGCTTTCTGCAGCTATAAGGAAGGGTTCGAAAGGGGTTTAGGGTTTAGGGTTTAGGGTTTAGGGTTTAGGGTTTGTCCAAGAGGAGGTAGAAGTGACGAGCGAGCAGGGGTTGGGGTAAGAGTTCAGGGTGGCGCGTTCAGGGGTGTACGGTTCAGGGCTCAAGCTGTTGGGCTTGGCCCTGCAGGCTTTAGGGATTTTTAGGAATCTTTAGATTTAGGGTTTAGGGTTTAGGGTTTAGGGTTTAGGGTTTAGGGTTTAGGGTTTAGGGTTTAGGGTTTAGGGTTTAGGGTTTAGGGTTTAGGGTTTAGGGTTTAGGGTTTAGGGTCTAGGGCGAGGCATGATGCAGCCCCTGCGCCCCGCAGCTGCTCTTGTTTCGTGTGAGACCTGGGCAATGTCTTGCGAGGCTTGTGCCCACCTTCGAGCGCAAGCCCTAAACCCTGAACCCGAAACCCCTACATGAAACCCTAAACCCGAAACCCTCGTCCCTAGACCGTACACCGCAAACCGTAAAGCCTAAACCCTAAACCCTAAACCCTAAACCCTAAACCCTAAACCCCTAAACCCCTAAACCCCACCCTCAGTCCATTTCGTCGAAGATTAGGGCCTGGCGTGACAAGCTGCCTTCCACCGGTTTCAGGGGTTTAAAGATTAAAGGGGCAAGAGGGTTTAGGGTTATTGGGTCTATTGGGTTCAGGGCTGAGCGTTTTACGTTTGGATTAGGCACGTATGGTTGATGGGGTCTATATACTTGATAGTATAGGGTTTATGGGGTTCATAGGGCTTATAGGGTTTATATGGTTCAAGGGCTTAGAAGGTTTTTAGGGTCTTGGGTTTTCAAGGTCTCGTGTGTAAAATGTCGAGTTTGTTCATAGGGTTGATACGGTTCAAGGTTCATGGGGTGTAGGGCTTAAACCCTAAACCCTAAACCCTAAACCCTAAACCCTAAACCCTAAACAGGGTTTTGGGTTTATAAGGCCTCGGGTGTAAGATGTCGAGTTTAGGAGTTCAGCGTTTTTTTATGTTTGGGGAGTGTTTTTTGGGTCTAGCGACAACTCATGTGGTTCAGAAGGGTTCATACCGTAGAGATGAAGGGTGTGGAGATGTAGCCCTTAACGGATAGAATCACCTAGCATTGTTGACAGCATGCGCTTCTGAACTGTACCCCCCCAAATCCCTCACCCCCCAGGCCCTAAACCATAAGCCCTAAAACCCTGAAACCCTAAACCCTAGACCCCCAACCGCCTTCAAAGGACAGCTCTTCCGAAGAGTAAACTAGGAATAAAGAGGGTAACCTGGTTTGGCTTAAAGGGGCTTGAGGACACCTAAGTCCCAAACAAAAGGGGATAAGGGCCATTATAGGGAGCCTTTACAATTAGAATTACTATAGTATACAGTATACTTATAAAGGTGCCATAACAGGATACTGCTAGTAAGTATTTCGACTCCTATATTACTCTGGGATGTCCCCTAAGCACGCTTCAAGATACCGTAGCCCCTTGGGGTTTAGGGTCAAGGATTACGAGGTCACAAGGTTTTTGGGCTACAGGTTTAGGGTTTAGGGTTTAGGGTTTAGGGTTTAGGGTTTAGGGTTTAGGGTTTAGGGTTTAGGGTTTCAGGGACACCGGGTTTGACAGCTACCGTGTTCCAGGGCTGCAGCCCAGGGTGTCCATCTCTAGTGCTACTATGGACTTTGGTGCCCCAAAACCCAAAACCCAAAACCCAAAACCCTAAACCATACACCCTAAACCTAAACCCTAAACCCTAAACCCTAAACCCTAAACCCTAAACCCTAAACCCTAAACCCTAAACCCTAAACCCTATTTTAGTCTTGTTTTGGAGGAACCTAATTCCCTAACTGTACTAGAGATGGACTCCTCTGGGCAGAGGGTCACAGGCTTACAGGGTTTAGGGCTTAGGGTTTAGGGGTATGAGATGCCATGAAGCTACCATTTATGGCTTCATGAGGCTGCTCGCCATTGTGTGTAGGGCCTGCGCCTAGGTTGCAACAACGAAGATTCCAGCCATGCTGCTGTCCCAAACCCGAAACCCTACGATTTGCAAAGAAGTCACAGGAGCTCCTGAACCATAAGCCGGCAGGGTGGGGGGGGTGGGGGGGGGGGGGGGGGGGGGTTTGCTTGGAAGGTCCATTGAAGAAATTGGCCATGGGATGAGAAGAGTCCTTTTAAAGGAGAGAATCCTTACTTTGGGGATGGGTACCGTCAACCCCAAAAACCACGTAGATACCTTAGTTTGCCCGTATCCCCTTGGGTTAAATGTAACCTTTGGGATTTTAAGGGTAATTATTACCCAAAGTTGAAAGGTTCCTACTCTAACTACTAAGAATCCTCAACGTGTGGCTTCGGCCTCTGGGCTTCTCTGTGCAGCCCATCCATCTTTGCACCGCCGGAGCACACGCAACTCTTGAACTGAAGCGGGGGCGGGGGGGGGGGGGGTGGGGTTTCGGGTTTGCGGGTTTCGGGGTTCGTGTTCGGGCTTCGGGTTTTAGGGTTTAGGTTTATGGTTTAGGTTTTAGGAGGGGTTTGTGGGGGGGGGGGGGTGGTGGGGGGGGGGGGGGGGCGTCTCACATATACACTCCCGAAGGGTCCGTGTACCCACATAGGGGGGCTTCAACAGTACTGGGGCCGCCTCTAAGTATGTACTATTTAGGTACACGGACCCTGAGGGCACTCAGAGAGAGCCGACAACGCATGCCACCACTTCACTACTTCATTACTGGTACATCGCGCGTTGGCGTGGAGATACTTGAAGCAAATGGGAAAGCACCCCCGATTTCGCAGTTGCCGCTACTGTCGCTTCTTGACAGTGCTCTTGTCTTGTCCAGACGTAACAAACCGACGGAAGTGACGAAGCACTGCAAACACGAAGTAGGCCAGGAGTAGGGGAAGCATGGGCCAAACCCAGGTGATCATGCTCAGGGTGCCTAGCAAGGCCCGCATGACGACGCGGTCGTTGACATGCGGGAATTGGGTGTCCGGCACAGGTTTGCCCAAGAAGTCACACAGCGGCTTCCAGCCCTCCTTCATGTTGAACTCAAGCAACTTGTCCCGAGGGATCATGTTTCGGATGCGCTCCTTACCAGCCCATCGGCCAGATCACAATCAAGGTGCCCTTTCGGGGGTGCGTTACCTGTTACAAAGAGAGCCCGGAACCCACAAAAAGGGCAAAAGGGTACCGCCGGGCTAACAGGGCTCTATGTGCTTGTAGTAGCTTTCTTCCAAGGCATCCACATCCCCGCGGAGCTCGGGTCGTCCCTGCGTCTGAATGTGCCACAGGATGTGCTTGTAGGCTTTCCTTGGTGGCCCAGCAACCATATGACAATAAAGGCACTTTTTTCGGGGGGGGTTGGTTGCTTTGGAACGGCATCCCCAACCCAAAACAAAAAAAGGTGAAGGGTACCACTGAACTACCCTAAACCCTAAACCCGAAACCAAGTTTCAAGATGCCATGGAAACTCTTGATCCATATGAAAGGTCGCGACGACAAGATATCCATCCCATGCGACACCGGAGCCCACGATTCGGCCCACTTGCGGCCACTGTCACGAGAGGTCAGGACGAACTTGATGTCCACTTCGGGGTGCTGCACGACCCACTCGACAATCTCGTATGAGAACCAGAAGAGGACGTCGAACCCCTGTGCGCCAAACTCCTCCAGGAAGTCCCCCACGGGCATGGGGTGCGTGTCATTGAAGCGCTTGGCCAGCAAGCTCGCAACTTCCACGACTTCGTTGTCGTGGCAGGGGGTGTAGCCAAGTTGCCTTAGCTTTGGAGTAGACCCTAAAACACATATATACTTTTTGTGTATAGGTAGCTATGATGGGAACCCAGAACCACAAAACAAGTATTAAAGTATAGTACTCCAAGGCCCAGTTGCTTCAAGGCCGTGACAAAGCTGGTAGTACCCGTGCGCGCGAACCCCACCGAGATCAGCTTCGGCTTGGTTGGCGGCCGCTGGGGCGCATCCTAATTCATGGTTTGGATAGTATTGACGATTTCAGTTTCTGTTCCTTATTGAGTTTTAAGTACCCTCAAAAAGGTGAAAAGTTACCGCACTATGACAGAGCATCGGGGAAAACGGCTTTGAGTGCGAGGCGCCCGCCTTCCGAGATCCCGGAAATGGTCCGCACGAACCAAGACGACGTCTGCCTTAAAGGGACGAAATCAAATCCCTGAAAGGGCTTATGAACCCTAGCAGGAATTATAGTGGTGCAGGGCATAAAATGGGTTTTGGTTCATATACCTGATAGCGGTCTAAGGAATTTGACCCCTAAACCCGAAACCCTAAACCCATCAACCCTAAACCCTAAACCCCAAACCCAAACCCCAAACCCCATACCCTAAACCCTAAACCCTAAACCCTAAACCCTAAACCCCAAACCCAATTTTGGGGTTCACTTAAGTCCCCGGGCGCGTGTCGGCTCCTCCAATCTGCGCTGCCCGGGGCGCGGACGAGCAGCTGAGCAAGAGAAGCAGGCCCAAGAGGAGCTTGTGAGCAAACATGGCGTAGGGTTTAGGGTTTGGGGTTTAGGGTCTAGGGTTTAGGGCTTAGGGTCTAGGGTTTAGGGTTTAGGGTTTAGGGTCTAGGGTTTAGGGTTTAGGGTTTAGGGTTTAGGGTTTAGGGTTTAGGGTTTAGGGTTTAGGGTTTAGGGTTTAGGGTTTAGGGTTTAGGGTTTGGGGTTTGGGGTTTAGGGTTTAGGGTTTAGGGTTTAGGGTTTAGGGTTCAGGGTTTAGCCCAACTAACCCGGTCGAAGCCCGACGAGACTGAGCCCTCTCAAGCCCCCAACCTATCTCTAAAAGGCGTCTTGAGTGCACTTTGAAGTAACGGCGGCGCAAGAGCCAAACAAGACCGTGACAACTTCGCAGACTATGTGAAGTAGGGTATATATTTCTTGTACCCCCAAAAGGACACCAGGTATATACACTCACCAATATTAAAAAGGGACCTTATATACACACACCAATAACAGAAATTTGAACCCTGTTTCATGTAACCGCCCGCATTGCGGGGAATCACTAGCCCTAACAGTTCGCGGGTGACGAACTGGGACGCAAGCGACCTCCAATTTAGACCAGAAAGCCCCAAGCTCCTAAACCCTAAACCCTAAGCCCTAAACCCTAAACGCTAAACCCTAAACCCTAAACCCTCAACCCTCAACCCTCAACCCTCAACCCTCAACCCTAAACCCTAAACCCCAACCCCCCTCCCCCCTTCGCCGGAGCCCCAAAATCCTGCAGCCAGACCTGCACAAGCCGAAACAGACACTACCAAACCCCAAACCCCAAACATTAAAAAGACACCTAAACCCTAAACCCTAAACCCTAAACCTTAAACCCTAAACCCTGATAAACCCTAGAACGCAAATGATGGTCCCCGCCCACAACGCGGCTGGGGGCACGAGAACAAGCAGCGCCCCGCCACAGCACTGAACGGCCTGGGATTGAGACGACGAGGTTGAAGCTTGTTTTTGTGGGTTGAAGGCTTTCTATACTCCCCTTAGAACATTAATAAAAACAATACTCTTAATATCCTCTTGGGTTTTCTACTAACAAATATGAAAAATAATTCCCAAGGGGGATATAGATTTAGGGTCCAGGGAATAGGGTTTAGAGTGTAGGCTCAGCATTGTAGGATTGTAGGATCCATGGGTTTAGGGTTGAAGGATTTAGGATTTAGGATTTAGGGTTAGGTTTTAGGGTTTAGGGTTTAAGGTTTAGGGTTAGGGTTTAGGGTTTAGGGAATTGAGCAAGGATTGAAGGATTTAGGGTCTTGGGGTACAGGGTTTAGGGTTTGAAGGACGTGGGGATTTAGGTTTTAGGGTGTAGGGCTCAGGATTGACGGGGTTGAAAGATTCATCGTTTAGGGTTGTTGGGGTCTCTCGGCGAGGCTCGAGGGCTCAGGGTCGAGGAAGGCTTCTCGTGAGGTTCTGGGCGGTTGCGAAAGCCAAATGGGTTTGGCCCCAGAGTTGAGAGTCACCTCTACACCCCCCTTTTTTGAACCTTAAAAAAACAATAGTATGCTTAATATCCTCTTGGGTTTTATATAAACAAAATAAAGAAGAATTCCCAAGGGGGATATAGACCTTTGGTCCCTGTTCATACCCGGTACTATCAAGCCGATCAGCCCAAAAAAGCACTAGAAACTCCAAACCCCCCAGAGACTTCTCCAGTAGCCATGCTGGTGCTTCCGCGGCACCCGACCCCGAATCGTGCCCAACTCAACACTCAACGTGTAGGGCGAGCTGACAAGACTCAACGACCCATGGCACAGAAGTGAATGGCTAGCACGGAATATCCCAAGTATAGCCCTTGAAAGGGATTCCCTAGGGCAACTAATTCCTCACATGGGCTCCCTTTCATGGTCTACACGTCGGTTCTTGCAAAGATAGAAGGTTGCAATCTCCAATCGCGGTTTTGTTTGGGGCTTCAGGGTTCAGGGTTTAGGGTTTAGGGCATTTCCCTAAACCCTAAACCCTAAATACTAAACCCTAAAACCTAAAGCACTAAACCCTATAGGGCTTTGTAGGAGGAGTTAGGGCTTTTGCGTGCGGGCGAAGGGGGGGTGGGGCGGGAGGGGACTCATCGAAAGGGCTTAGGGCGTGTAGGGCTTGTAGGGTTTAATAAGGCTTAGGGTTTAGGGTGTAGGGTTTAGGGTTTAGGGTTTTTAGGGTGTAGGGATTAGGGTTCAGGGTCTCGAGCTTGGGATATACCCCTCGAGTAAGTGAGGACGAAGATCGAGCTCCTAAACAGCCCCATGAAGCCCTCTCGCCGGAGGAGGGGAAAGCCGCAATCTCCCAAGGTCCTTGGGTTTATAGGTTTTAACCCTAAACCCTAAACCCTAAACCCTAAACCCTACACCCTAAACCCTAAACCCTACAGGGCCACCAATAGGAGTGCAATTCGGAGCTGGGGCGACCGGCACGCCAGCCACGCGCCTTCCACTTCTCGTACTCTTCAGGGTCCGAGAACATCTGTGCGGGTTTCGGGTTTAGGGTATGGGGGGTTGGGTTTAAGGTTTAGGGTTTAGGGTTTAGGGTTTAGGGTTTAGGGTTTAGGGTTTAGGGTTTAGGGTTTAGGGTTTAGGGTTTAGGGTTTAGGGTTTAGGGGTTTGGGTTCACGATTCACACGTGGTCTCAGGGGTCTCAACAGCTTTGCGGATGTAGGCGCAGGGTGCAGGGTTTAGGAGCAGTGGAGCCCCACAGCCCTATAGCAGTTCTGGACCCTAAGCCCTAAGCCCTAAACCCTAGCCCTAAACCCTAAACCCTAAACCCTAAACCCTAAACCCTAAAAACCCTAAACCCTAAACCCAGTTGGGGAGTCTCACTCCAGCAGCGCTTAGGCTTCGGGGGCTGTACCTAGTCCCCCTCTGCAAGTACCCTTTCGGGCTTAGGGTTTAGGGTTTAGGGCTAGGGTTTAGGGCCAGGGTTTAGGGTTCAGGGTTCAGGGTTCATGAATGTACCGTTGGGTTTAGGGTTTAGGCTTCGGGGTTTAGGGTTGAGAAGGCTTAGGGTGGTTCCGAGGACTGGGGATATATATATATATATATATATATATAGAAATATTGGATATCTCCATCAAAAAAATATATATAATTATATATATATATATAATATACACATATATATATAATATACACATATATATATATATATATACATACATGTGGAGGTTTGGGGCGATTGCGCTGGGTTTCTCATGGGATCCCCCTACTAGCCCCTCAAAAAGGCTCTGCCGGAACTAAGCCTAAACCCTAAACCCTAAAGCCTGAAGCATTAGCCCTGAACCCTAAACCCTAAACCCTAAACCCTAAACCCTAAACCCTAAAGCCTAAACCCTAAACCCTAAGCATTCATTTCCCTCATGAACCTCCCCTACAATCATGCCGTAGGCCGGTTTGGGCCTTCGCCTGGTAGACGGAGGAGAGCACCCCCTGCCCAAAGACAAGCTTTGGAGGTTTAGGGTTTCAGGTTTAGGGTTTAGGGTTTAGGGTTTAGGGTTTGGGGGTTTAGGGTTTGGGGGTTTGGGGTTGAGGGTTTCGGGCAACATATCCAAGCCTGAACAGCCCACCGCCCCGACACCCCCAGCTCTCCTACTCCAGGAAAGCTGATGAATCAGGATGTACATGTTTTCGCAGTTTGGGGTTTAGAGTTTCGGGGGGAGGATTTTGAACTGGAATGAGCATGTTGGCGGAGTAGCAGATTAAAAAATACTTCCAAAGAACCATCTGAAAGGAAAACCCCGAAACCTAAACCACAAGTCTTAAACCCTCAACTCATTTAGTGGCCCTTACCCAGAAGTCTTCCTTGCGCCAAGTCCCGGAAAGCGCTTCAGTCTCTCAAGCCGTCTGAAGTGCTGTTCCTGCAAAAAGGGCAATACCCTAAACCCTTAAGTAATCTGCCCTAAGTACATTCCACAATGAATATATTCCCTAAGTTTGTGTCATACAAAAAGACAAAACCCTAAACCCTAAACCCTTAACCCTTCACCCTTAACCCTTAACCCCAAAAACATGGGTTTGCGGAACTTCTGGGAAGCTTCCGTCCTGGTCCACGGGGCCATCCGTATCCTGATCTTCCTCGTCCGAGGACTCCTCGCTTAAAGGGCTCAGACATTCATGGTTGCTTGATATGCTGTTTAGGGTTTAGGGTTTAATTAGGGTTTAGAATTTAGGGTTTAGGGTTTAGGGTTTAGGGTTCAGGGTTTAGGGTTTAGGGCTAGGGTTTAATTAGGGTCTAGGGTGTAGGGGTTGGTATTTCGGGTTTCTGATAATACTCAACTGGAACTGTACTTCGAATCACCCATGTTGGTGGTCTTTAATTAGGAGCCACAGTCTTGGGTTTAGGGTTTAGGGTTTAGGGTTCAGGGTACAGGGTTCAGGGTTTAGGGTTTAGGGTTTAGGGTTTAGGGCTAAAGTTTAGGCTTGAGGCTTCAGGCAACAAAAGGGTTTAGGGTCGCAAACCCTATTCTTCCCCCTGCGAACCTTAGAAACCATAACATATTTTGCCTCAGGATAGAAGCCTTATATGCCCTAAAGTTCCTAAAGCCCTAGAGCTCGTACGCCATCCTACGCCCGAAGGCTCCAGTTAGGTGGAGACCCTCAGCCCCAAGCCCCCCAACGCCCAATCCCCAAACAACCCCAAACCCCAAGCCCCAAACCCCAGAACCCCAAACCCTAAACGATTCGGGCTTCTATGAAATCCAGGAACCCCAAACCCTAAAC